ACTTTATCAAAATGACAGAAACCAATATTTAGCACGAAAATTCAGGTATAATTTTTAGTATGAATGATTCAATACATTATTATAATTCAAAAAAAAAAAATAATAAATCATTACATAGCAAGACCTCCAAATACGTTTTATATGTCTTTGAAATGCGCGATTCCGCGGATATACCTTACGTTATCAAAATGACAAAAACCAATATTTAGCACGAAAATTCAGGTATAATTTTTAGGACAAATGATTCAATACCGAGTTCAATACATTATTATAATTCAAAAAATAAATCATTACATAGCAATATCTCTAAATACGTTTTTAAACTCTTTTACAAAGCGCGGTTCGGCGAATAAACCTTACTTTATCAAAATGACAAAAACTAATACTTAGCCAGAAAATTCACGGGTGTGAAGTTATCTACATCCACAAATGTACACTGAGAAAAATATATCTTTATCATAATTTATTTATTTTATTTATTTGTCTTAAGTACACTACAGAAATATGAATTCCAAATGGCACAGTCTTAAAGCTAAAACAACAATTAAAGTATAATTATATACACATAAAAAAAAAACCGAATATATAAATATCAAAACTCATAATAGTCATATAACTTGGTTCAAATGACATGTAGAGGCTTTTCATTTGCAGATTGCAATTGGGGAGGTTTCAATACACAACAACTATACCTGCAATTAACTTTTTCTCTGTCTGAAGGGGTGCAATACGCTAGTTCAGTGATGATGTAATTATGATTCCACTGACAATTAAAGTGACAGTAGATTTTTTGAGTGCGTTTTGTTCGTTTTGATTACCTAAATTATATCGTTTTTTTTTTCAATTTTATAAATATATTCCTATAGTAATTAGATAACATGCATCAAATATATATTCGTTTACCAATTAAGTACATACCTTTAAAATATTTTTATGACCTGTAAACAATATTTAGAAATAAACTAAAAACAGTAAAAACGTATATATCAAATTTATTGATGTTTTTGTTAAAAGTTTGGTTAGAATTAAATGTCAGTGGAACCAAAATTACATCACACCAAACTAGCATATTGGGGGTAAAATTTAAAAAAAATCATAGAAGCTACAAATGGCTTTGTACACCTTTCTGCTTGGGATATGTTATGTAGTTTGCTCTTTTCCTCATCCCTGATACCATGCTGGAGTTTGTCGAGCCATCTGAGGAGGTGCAATTAAGGCTGAAATTTAACAGACGCCACAAATGGAATTGTACACCTTTCAGTTTGGGATATGTTATGTAGTTTGCCATTTTCTCCATCCCTGATACCATGCTGGAGTTTGTCGAGCCGTCTGAGGGGGTGGAATAAAAATTATTTCTAAATTAAAAAATAATATCACACAAGTACATTATAATGTAGGTACAGACAATACATAAAAAAATAACTCAAAATATACTTCTTTATATAAAATAAAAATGTGTTCTCTAAAACAAAATAAACAATTATTCCTGAATTACAAAATATCACACAAGTACATTATACTTAATGTAGGTACAGAAAACATAAAAAGTAAAAAACTATAAAATTATCAAAAAAAAAACTTTATATATTTTTGAAAAGTAGAAAAAAACAAGACACTTCCTCTTCAATCAAAGCTCTTTTTTATTTATTGAATATTAAAATCAAAGTCATCCCATAAGCAGAAAGATGTACAATGCCATTTGTGGCTTCTGGTTTTTTTTTTAATTTCATCCCCAAATTCACCCTCAGACGGCTCGACAAACTCCAGCAAGGTATTAAGGATAAAGAAAAGAGCAAACTACATAACATATCCCAAATAGAAAGGTGTACAAAGCCATTTGTGGCTTTTATGTTTTTTTTTTTAAATTTCACCCTTAAATGCACCCCTCCAGACGGCTCGACAAACTCCAGCATGGTATCAAGGATAAAGAAAATAGCAAACTACATAACATATCCCAAGCAGAAAGGTGTACAAAGCCATTTGTGGCTTTTATGATTTTTTGTTTAATTTCACCCCCCATTGCACCCCCTCAGACGGCTCGACAAACTCCAGAATGGTATCAGGGATGAAGAAAATAGCAAACTACATAACATATCTCAAGCAGAAAGGTGTACAAAGCCATTTGTGGCTTCAATTTTTTTTTTTTTAATTTCACTCCTTCAGACTGATCGACAAACTCCAGCATGTTATCAGGGATGAAGAAAACAGCAAACTACATAACATATCCCAAGCAGAAAGGTGTACAACACCATTTGTGGCATGTATTTTTTTTAAATTTCACCCTTAAATGCACCCCCTCAGACGGCTCTACAAACTCCAGCATGGTATTAGGGATGAATAAAAGAGAAAACTACATAACATATCCCAAGCAGAAAGGTGTACAACGCCATTTGTGGCTTTTATGATTTTTTGTTTAATTTCACCCTCCATTGCACCCCCTCAGACGGCTCGACAAACTCCAGAAAGGTATCAGGGATGAAGAAAATAGCAAACTACATAACATATCCCAAGTAGAAAGGTGTACAAAGCCATTTGTGGCTTTTATGATTTTTTTTTAAATTTCACCCTTAAATGCACCCCTCCAGACGGCTCGACAAACTCCAGCATGGTATCAAGGATAAAGAAAATAGCAAACTACATAACATATCCCAAGCAGAAAGGTGTACAAAGCCATTTGTGGCTTTTATGATTTTTTGTTTAATTTCACCCCCCATTGCACCCCCTCAGACGGCTCGACAAACTCCAGAATGGTATCAGGGATGAAGAAAATAGCAAACTACATAACATATCCCAAGCAGAAAGGTGTACAAAGCCATTTGTGGCTTCTATTTTTTTTTTTTAATTTCACCCCTTCAGACTGATCGACAAACTCCAGCATGGTATCAGGGATGAAGAAAACAGCAAACTACATAACATATCCCAAGCAGAAAGGTGTACAACACCATTTGTAGCATGTATTTTTTTTTAATTTCACCCTTAAATGCACCCCCTCAGACGGCTCGACAAACTCCAGCATGGTATTAGGGATGAAGAAAAGAGAAAACTACATAACATATCCCAAGCAGAAAGGTGTACAACGCCATTTGTGGCTTTTATGATTTTTTGTTTAATTTCACCCCCCCATTGCACCCCCTCAAACGGCTCGACAAACTCCAGAATGGTATCAGGGATGAAGAAAATAGCAAACTACATAACATATCCCAAGCTGAAAGGTGTACAATGCCATTTGTAGCTTCTATGATTTTTTTTTTAAATTTCGCCCCCAATTGCACCCCCTCAGACGGAGCAAAAGTTAATTGCGGGTATGGTTATGTATTGAAACCTCCCCAATTGAAATCTGCAAATGAAAAGCCTCTACATGTCATTTGAACCAAGTTATATGACTATTACAATGAAGCTTTATTTTTCTCAGTGTACATTTGTGGATGTGGATAACTTCACACCCGTGTGAAAATACACCAATTATTAAAAAAAATTATTTATGAAAATCTAAAACCAAATTGAACTTTTAACACTCTGGTATTTCCGAAATCATCCACTTTTGAACTGAGGTAATTGGGTTAAATATTCATATTTAAGTCTCAGGAATATGTGGTAGCATTTTTCCACACCTTTTAGAGACACCCTATATATATGCACCTAGCTCAAATTTATAATGAATTAAAAAATATTGATAAAAAATTAACCCTTTAGTTCAGCACCACTGTGTTAATAAAAATGGATTTTACAGTATTTGATATTGGTAAAACCAAGAACTTTTTACTCATTTCTGCAACATAAAGTTCATTAAAAAAAAAGAGTTGTTCTCGAAATAATTGAATCCAGTATATTTATACTTTATTATTTTAAAATAGATGCCTTGACATCTGCTAAAAAGATCTCAATACAATAAATTGTTCAACACATTTCTCTTTATCACCTTCATTCTAAGAAATATTTAATTTTCAATTTTCATTATCTAAAGTATCTACCTAATTACTTATACCTATATACATGTTTATTTTTAACAGACTTCAAAAAAAGAAAGAGGTTTTCATTTCATTAGGTTTATATGTGTTCAGTGATAATTTGATAATTATTTCCATGTTGTCTGAATTCTTTTTTTTTTTTTAGAAATGGGGTACTCAGGAGTGGTCCCATATAAATTTGGTCAAAATCTGGTGAAAGGATCTATGAGAAAATCAGCAAAGTCAATTTGTAATGGCACCTGCACGATTTTGGACTCTTGTTTTTTAAAATTTCTCTTATAACTTGTCAATAATAATATTCTGCTAATTATTAAAAATAGTATTATTTTATAATTCGGAGATATTAATACTGTCATAGAATATTGGACTATTAAATATTACTAAATTACTTAAGTAAAACTCTACATAAGTAAATGTTTAATTATTAGTCATGTTCATCCCTGAAGCTTTCAACAAGTTTTTATTTATAAATAAAAACGAAAATGTAATTACAATTACTTTTTATAAAAAAAAAACAGAATAAGTACGTAGGGTATACCTATATTCTACTCAGACATTTCAAAGACAGCTTATAGGATAAAAATAATAAACAAACAATGGGTGTCATTGACCCCTTTCAGTACGCCACCATCAGTTACATTCTGAATAGTACATAAAATGCATTTAAACAAGGAACAAAAAATGAAATAAACGTTAATAGTTCTTAATTATAATTAACTTTCCAAATAATTACGTAAGTTTGTATGTTAAGTATAGTGGGTAACTACGAATCTTCAAAACTTTTACTTTTCTTTTCAGATAAAATTACTAATTGGATTCAACTTCTGTAGATAAAAAATTACTTACTGAATTCAAATATTACAAAAAATTGCAGAAATGATATTGTCACAAATAAAAACTGGCTCTAAACAAAGAAATCTGTATTTTAAAACTTAACATTCTTGAATCTTTTTCAGGTTGTTTTTATGAGATAAAAAGTTGTTTTGTAGATAAATTTGGTATTTTTACGAGACAAAGAAAGTTGACACTTACCGTCACTTGATTTTCTGCTACCCCCAAAGTAGGTGGTAGACCCAGGAGAAGGTTTTTTCCAACCTCTCCAGTTGTTATAGACGCTCTCGGGCTCAGAGCTCCAACTGCACAAAGAGTCCTCTTCGAACCTGTCAGAGTCCTCGAAACTGAACCTGTCACCTTCCCGGTCCCCCCAGTCGAGCATCGCAGGCGGCTCATCTTCGCCACCGCCGGCAAGATTACCCCCAGCGGCCGCCAGTTTCAAACAAAGAGCTGCCCCCTTTGCACAAAACACTCACGGATACATACCCTGTTAAAGGGCTGTCCTGGATCGCGAAAAATTCATGCACTCGATACTTTCTCAAAGAAGTTTATCAATGAAGGGGTTATTTTTGTTTGACGAGCTCCCCCATTTAATGATAACAACAAATATGGCGCCTACCTATTCAGAACGATTCTCTACCCATCCGACCACTGGCATTGGCAATCGCACTGGCCCCTGCATAGCTAAACCACTGTCTGACTCTGACTGTCACTTTCTTTACGTCTTTCCTCCCTTGATTATTTGACAATGACCTGACACAGTCGGCACCTCTTGTGCATTTTCTGAAAATAGGTTTCAATTTTCTTCCAAGAGATGGCCTTAAGACAAATTCAAATAATTTTTTTACATTGCTCACTTACGGATCAGTGGCATTACCATGTTGCCAAATGAAAATGAAATCATATATTATTAAGAAATTAATAATAAATTATAAATTCTGGTTATTGGAAAATGTCTAATGTCTGGCACATAAAAAAAAATTCAACATCGTTTCTGATTTTTTCCTTATTAGGCAGACTAGGCTGTTATACTTTTCTCTGTTTCATACTCCATTTCATACTCAATTTCAACCGAAGTTCCCTATAAGCGCCTGATATGTGCATATTTCGATTATACCTTGTTAGTGTAAAGTATATAATCACATTGTTAAAAATTCCGTACCTATATATAACCAAAAATGTTTCTTCTCTTCTCATTTCCCAACCTTAGTCCATTGCCCATTCTCCCTAATTCTCTGGTTAACCTATTTTGTGATCCCACTCATCTACAGCAACGTATAATCAGAGCCTACAAGAGGGGGGGTAGCCGGGACAAATTCCCGGGGCCCGGGCTTAAGTGGGGGCCCGGTAGCGGCATAAGGGGGACCCGGCAGCTTTAGGTGACGACGTTTTTTTAGGACTTCGCCACAAGAGCACTAGAGAGAGGACCTGTTTTTTTTTGAGATTTCACTAAAGAGGAGAAGTTTTTGCTTGAAGACTTTATAAAATTGTCATGGGGCCCGACCTGGAAAATTGTCCCGGGGCCCAACCTGGCTCTCAGCGACCCTGCGTATAATGTGTGTTTTTTTCATCAGTTTGTTGGAATCGTTGTTTTACCGATGCGACATTGAAAGCCTTGTGTTGGATTCGTTTTATTTGTGGTTGACCGTTGAAATAAATAACATTAAAACATACATTGAAACTGATGGATTGCAGCAACGTTGGATAGAAAGACCACATTGTTAGTTCATCATTGATAAATTGGTGAAAAAAAAAAAGACAGGAAAATACCGCACCGATTCCAACGTTGCTACAAGAGTTGAATAAAAAGACACACGTATATTCGAGGTTTACCACTTCTCTACGTACAAGTGTCGCTTCCGAGTATCAATTATTTAGCTTTAGCTTTTCTTTATGGTGTAATATCTTGACTCGTATATATCCATGTCTCACAACTGCCATATTAGGACTATTCGTTTAATTTATCAAATATCAACAACAAAACTGAAAGACCCGAATCAACAAACAACCTCTCCTTCTCAAGATGTACTTTTGGCACACACCGCACTGACCAATAAAAAACAAAAACTAATTGACTTATGAATATTGCACAAATAAATTATTTATACTTTATTAATTAAAATTTAAACATATTTAACAATCGATGACTAATATAAAATTAAAAAAATTAATCGACTTACCTTAAGGAACATTAATTATCAGACTAATGCTGCGTTTGAGAATCCACATCGGATGCATTTTTTACATCTCGAGCGTTTTTTTATCCACATCGGACACATCTGTCCCATTACATTTACGTATACTGAATCACGTGATCAAAGATTTTTTACATCTCAGATGCATCCGATGTGGATTCTCAAACGCAGCAAAATATTGTTAAATACAGTATAAATAATTTAAAATACGCTCACTAGAGTACTGCGACAATTTTTCCTTAGGGAATTTTAAATATCGTATATTGGCTAACCTTTTATTTGACGTCGTCAAATGTGACTTCTGACATATCGTGTTCTAATAGCGCCCTCTATATTTTTCCTTTTTTAGTGAAAACTTCTATTAGAAGAATTGTACGTAAATTTTTAATTTTAATTATTTTTTTTAACAAGAATTTCCTATCCAAAAAAATAAATATCAGTAAATTCTGAGTTTTAGAGAAATAGTCTTTATCATAGATGACATTAATTATACATAAAGCTAATAAATTTACCGATGTTTGTGGAATACTATTCGTGTGAATTAGGTATGTTTACAGGAAAGAATATCTAATTTTTGAATTTTAGGTAAAACATGGCTCCTAGGAAAGGAAAAGCCCCAAAAGAAGAAGTCCAGCTATCTCTTGGACCTCAAGTTCGCGAAGGAGAAATAGTTTTTGGTGTAGCACACATTTTTGCCAGTTTCAATGATACATTTGTTCATGTTACTGATTTATCAGGCAGAGAAACTATTTCCAGAGTAACTGGAGGTATGAAAGTTAAAGCCGACAGAGACGAAGCCTCTCCTTATGCCGCTATGTTAGCTGCCCAGGTAATTACTTTTTAAATAGATCTACCCAATCCTAATATAACCTAAAAATCAAATTGCTTAACTGTTAAAACTCCTGCTCAAAAACTCACGAATCCTTTTCCTATTTAGATCTCTGAATAAAGTTAAAAATAACTACCTACTTGTTGATTAGGCCATAGGCAGGTCGTAGTTCGCTAATCTGCCAAGTAACCCTTTGTGTAACTTTACTCAGGTGAAAAAATTGGCACTCTAGTTTGAATTTAAAAAAATTATAAGCCTCAGGATATTGTAATATTTATTGTGAAAGCATTAGCAGTGAGAGTTATTCACTGCTTGGCAGACACCATCTTCCTTAACCACCTTTTAAAGTTACCAGCATATTTAATTCATAGAATTGTAAAAGTGATTTAGATTCGCATTAAATTTGAGTTATCCCCAGCTCCAGATCTTGTCAAAGGTGGTACCCTAATATAAATTGACATTTTAACTTTAATTTCTCTTGATAAATTATACAGATGGTTTATAATTATTGTATTTCAAGGGTATATCCAGTTCCAACACTTCCAACAATCAATTTGTATATTTTTACTTATTTGAATCTACATCAGAGTTTTTCACTTATTCTGATCAGGCATAGTTCACAATCATTGTGCTTTCTACTTCTATTTTGGTCATGCATAGTATAAGTACTTTGAATTCTCAGATCAAGTCAAGGTCAAAATTTATGAACATCTTTGAAAGATTCATTAAGTACTGTGAATATAAATAATAAACATCTTTATTTTAATAATCCTCAGCAAGTCCAGAGCTGTCCCACTCGACCAGTACCAAATATAAATACAATTCAAAGGGTTAGCAGCAAAAGAAGTGATATTTTTTTTTAAATGTTGATAGATGTTGATAGATGTCGTTAGGACGTCAAAAATTGTATCATTTTACCACCAAAAAAATAATAGTTTTTTAAATAATGAAATATGCACTTAACTCATTTAAAAAGAAAATGTCACTTGAACCTTTTTACTTCTAACCCCTTCAATTAAAATAGACATTATTTAGATTTAAATTAATCAATAGAATATTTATATAGAAACTGCAAAAAGAAAATGAACTATACATAAACATAAATCCATATCAAAACAAAACAAAAATTCAGTTTTTTAAAGCATTGTAGAGATTTATTTTTAATTTCTTTAGATATAGAGTTAAACTGACTGCGACATATGAGAAAGATCTGTTTTAGAGTTTTTCTGTTTAAATATAACAAGGCTAGTATTTTGGTTATGAACGCTTGAGTTGAATGTTAATTTTTTTTTCTAAGATATATAGCAGTATTATTTCTTATTTCTCAGCACTTTTAAGACATTTAATTCCTAAAAAAAGCCACAAATTTCTTATTTATTTAAAAATAGTCAAAAATAGTAAGTTCAATTGAAATATTTTAATCAATATTTTAGAGATTTGTTTTGATACAGGTTACAGGTTGTAAAAAAATTGTGTTTCTGAAATAATATAATTTTACAAAATACTAGTTATATTTTAGATTAATAGGGCTTAGATTATTACATTTTTTTTCATCTTTTACATACAGGGTAGCGAAAAAGTCTGGCAAAAAGGTGAAAAATTGAACTGTATTATATTAATAATGTACTTTTTTAGTAATCTTGAAAGGAGAAAAAAAATAATATTTACTGTGATACATCACAGGATCTACATTGCCATTTAAAAAATTCAATATGATGGCAGTAAGCTAAATGCTGAAGTCACATAAATTTGACATGTTTTCTAAAAAATGCAGAATACACTCCCATTCACCACACTACAGTTTCATGATTATACATGCATTCGTTTTAAAGAAGATACCTTATTGCCAGACTTTTTTGCTATCCTATATGTATGAATTAAAAAAAAAAGAATGGAAATATTGCATTTATTTAACATATTTCTAACGACGAAACTATAATGCATTTACTTCAATATAATGAACCATTTTTCAATAGTGCAACATCAAAAAAGTGTTAAGTTCAGACTAAAAAATCCCTAAGTGTTCAATTAGAAAATTCAAAAGATGCATTGAACAACAAAAAACATTTCTTCTCTATAAATAATGAGATTCATGAGTGTACAGAATATTTTTTATAATTTTTATATTAATAATAATAATAATCTTTATTTTGAGGAACAATCATAATACATATAAGTAAGACAATTCTTAAACAAAACAGTGCCAAGGAAAATATATTAATGATCACATAGAGTAATATTCATTAATTGTATATGGTTCTAAATTAATTAACAATTCATGTACATCCCTTTTAAATACTTTAACATTTGCTAATATTTTTATTGCGTCAGGCAGTTTATTGTACAACTTTACACAGCTGTACCCTGCTCCATGTTCTGTAGCTGTCAGCCTATGTATTGGATATACTAGGTTTATATTTCTCGACATATAAGCATTTGTTGGTTCAAAATTTGAAAATAAACCTCTATTTTTAAATAAAAAAAATAAGCCTATCACAATTAAGATTTTATTTTCTCTAAATTTACCTCTACACGACTCTCTCATGTTCAAACTGAGCATAATCCACATTATTCTTTTTTGCACTAAAAAAACCCTTTCAAATGAATTGCTCCCACCATAGAATATTATCCCATATCTAATTCTGGATTCAAAATTTGCAAAGTATACCATTTTTAAACTATCCCATTCCAAATATTTCTTCACAACTCTGATGCTGTAACAGATCTGGTTCAGTTTTGTACATACAAACTCAACATGGCTTTCCCAGCACTGAAAACTATCAATATATAGCCCCAGAAACTTGGTACTAGTTGAGACCTTAAATATACAGTTGTTTAGTTGAATATTTATTGGCATTTCATCTCTGTTGTAATTGGTTTTAAAAAGTAACACATTTGTTTTGCCCTCATTGAGTATTAATTTATTTATTTCAAACCATTTTTTAGCTTTAATTATCTCTCTCTTTCTGCATTTAGGGTTAATTCCATCATATTAGATGCATTTATTAAGATATTTGTGTCATCTGCATAATTATCAAGAATGTGCCAACAATTGAAATAATTCTAAAATTATCAAAGATTACATTTTTCAGTTTTAGAGTAATGTGACTATATGTTCATGAAATGCTTGTGAATATTAATGTTTCAGATTAGTGCAATTTTAAGTAGTTTGTAGTACTATGATGAAAGAATAACATCATGTCATGCAACGGGTCTTGTATTAAAAATTTAAACTTGTAGGTTTTGCTACTCCCTATTAGTATATTTAGAGCTTAAAACTTTACAGAAACTGCTATTCAAATGAAACTAAGCCCTTATTAAAAGTACTAATAAAAAAAAAACAGCAACTGATATCTACCAGCCAAACCCCTCTGCTGAAACATTAAAAAAAGTCATAGAAATTAAATTTAAAGCTATTTTTTTTTTAGTTAAATGTACCTATTACGTGATTAGGTAGGAATAACTGCTAAGTAATCTCAAAATAAAGTTGTTTTTTTCTTTGCTAGGATGTAGCTGAAAAATGCAAAACCTTAGGAATCACAGCACTCCACATTAAATTGCGTGCCACAGGTGGCAACAAAACAAAAACTCCCGGACCCGGTGCCCAGAGCGCCTTGAGAGCCCTTGCACGTTCCAACATGAAAATTGGCAGAATCGAAGATGTTACCCCCATTCCATCAGACTCCACCCGTAGGAAGGGAGGGCGCCGTGGTCGTAGGTTGTAGGGTGTTTCTACACTCTATGAACTTCGATTTCATAATGTTATTGTTTATATATTTAAGTATATAACATGTTCATTCAAAGAATAAAGCATTGATTGGACGAAGATTTTGTTTTGATTTTAACACTGTCTTAAATTTGAGCCAGTATTATTGGTATTGTTTTGATTATTTATTAAATAATTTTCATAGTTATAGAGTAGGAAAAAAGGATTATAATAATCACATAATAATTAGTTTAATAATTCTCTTAATAAAAATCAATATAAAAAAGTAAATTTAAAACAAACTAATTTGAGGAAGGTTATTTATTAAACTAATGTGGTATAATCAGTATAGGAAACTTGAAAGTCTTTACCACACATATTGTTTAATGGTAACTAGTTTCTAATTTATAAATATCTTAAGAAATTCGAACAATTTGAAGTAAATCTATAAAAAAAATGAGGGAAAGCTATATATTAAGGGTGAGATTACAGAACGTCTGCAACTTTGCAGATCTGCAAATATGGTGGACTTACAAATGCAAGTATTCCAAAAAATATCTGCAAATTCACAATATTGATTGTGGTTTATTACCCCCAACAACACTAAACCCAAATTTGGAATACGAAAACTTGATACTTGCATGTGTAAGTCAGTCATATTTGCAGATTTTCAAAGTTGCCGCCATATTTGCAGATCTGTAAATTTGCAGACGTTCTGTAATCTCACCCTAGAACGTTAATAGGGAAAAATTATTGTGACTAATTTTCAACAAAACAGCATACAATAACAATTTACAAAGAAACATTTTAAGTTACATAATGATATAATTTTAATGTTGAAAGCATTTAAGTCGGGCTTATACTGCTAATCTAATATTTAATTGAGGGTACTTCTAAATCGTACTAGCAAGTTAAGACTAGGATGATACATTTTTGGTTTTGAGGAAATATAATTTTTAGAGGGTCAAATGGGTCTTTAGAGGACAAAGGGGGGCAGTTGCCCCCCTGGCTTTTACGTCTTAATCAACAACGAATAAGATGCATTACTGATCAGTAAATGAAAATAGTGAAAACATTTGGAATCGGCCATTTTGAAGCTTAACCTCAGATGTGGATAGCTAACTAGAGTACGAAAGAGCTTCCTGCACACAATGAACTCTCCATTAATGATATAGCGTCCAAACATTGTGAATTTTATTCAGGCATTCAAAAAGCTTTAAAAATATTTATGGCTCTTCCACCAACGATGACATCAATCGAAAAAACGTTTAGCAGCTAAGGCGTGTTAAAACATGGTTGCCGTCTATTCGCTCAGTTCGAAGTCATGGTAGGGGAAGCAAAAGCGATACTAGCGCAAGCTGCGAATAATTCAAGCACGTTAGGGCCATGTTTTGTAATTTTAAATAGAGATTTGAAATCCTCGAAAAAGTCGGACAAAACCAAAATAAAAATTTTGTCCCATTTATAAATATTGATTTTTTTTCATCATATTTTTGACTGCTTTATAAAAAAAAATGTTATTTTTCTTTATAGTTTTATTTCTTAACTATTCCAATAATCCAACTAACTTTTTTTTTAATCACAATAAATACCCAGACAACACACCAAATCCCAGAGATATCCACAGAATATATTTTGTGGATATCCAATATATCCACAGGATATCAGAAATATTCCGTGGAACTAATATAGATATCCAAATGTCCGTCTATATCCAGAATATAGAAGATATCCTATGGATATTCAGCAAAATATCTAATGAGTATCTCCAGACAATACAAGAAATCCCAGATATATCCATAGAATATATTTTGTGGATATCCAACCAAATGTCCGTCTATATCCCAGGATATAGAAATTCAGATAAATATTTTATAATTATTTTTAGTAGAGGTTCATAAGTAACCAATGGTTATTGAATAACGTCGAAAGAAGATAGAGGTAAAAAATATTCCCAACAATCTGCCTTTGATTCTGCCTACTAAGGAGAAAATCCTCCTTATTAGGAATCTTCAGCAATAAATGGAACTTCTCGACTTCAGTCTCTAATGAAGTCTGTATGTGAAACAATGTCGATCAAACTCAATTACGGCGGGTTAAGCATGAGTAGATACGAAAGTGGTATCGCCATCTATACTTAGGAAGCAAAATCAAAAATTACATCTAGTAGATATCCACGATGGTTTGCGTCCGCGCTTAGACTTTGATATATTTATATTTATAGTGGATGTCCATGGGATATTGAATACACCTTAAAAAAAATTAATTTTAAATATCTCAACGGTACTATTAGCCACAATGGCGAGTACAATGGCGTAATTTTTTAATAATTTGCTATATAATTACAATTATTTATGGACATTTGCATGTCTATAAATTACATTTCATGGATATAAAATAGATATCCACCATGGACTGGACATTCAGTGGATATTGGGATGTTCAGTAGATATCCAAAGGATTTGGTGTGCTGTCTGGGTAAATGATTATCATGGTCCAACAAACGCGCACTTTAAACCGGCATCGCCTTTATGAGGAAGCCGGTAAAGATGCAGCTGCGTACATTCGTATCTGGTCTAGGTAATCTGTGCCATGGGTACAGCACGTCACGATGAGGAAGGACAGCGCCCCGCTTGTGACGTATAATCCATCACATGTGTTCATCTCTTGCTAAGCGATATTGTCGTTGTCCTTGTTTTTCGCATCATAATGAGAGAGAAAACAACAGAGGCACACATTTACTGTGCCCATCTTCCATTTAATCTCGGAACGTCGCTCAACGCCCGGTCGTGCCAACGCGGTTTGCGCGGAATATTAGATAAAATAATAATAGGCATTGAGGAAAATATAAAATACGTAAGTTATTTTTTTTTATTATACTAGGGCACGTGCCCAAGTGCCCTTATGGGCAAACCGCCACTGGCTATGACTACTAGATGATGCGTGGAACATTCAAAATGTTTTCTTCAGAAAAATCATTCTCACTAATCAGATTAATGCCTTCATTAGGTACATTTACATTTGTCAAACTTCAAAAAAAGATTGGAATAATTGAAGGAACAAGTTTTTTGAAAAATAGTATGTTACAAACAATTATTGTAAAACAATACCTGTCGACCTATTTGCGGTTCTCTTTTGGTATTATCAGTTATTTTCATGTTTTTTAAGCTTGAATAAAACTTATCATTGTTATAAAAAAGAGTTTTTATTAAGTGTTATAAATATTTTTATAAATAAAACAAAGTTATACATACATTATCATAAGCTTGATATTAAAAATAATAAGCAACATAACATTTTTTTTTTCTTAATCAATATAGATTTATTCAGACCCTACAGTCTGTCCAAGAGTCAAAAACACTTTAACCTTGTGGTCGTATTTTTGAGGTTCCTTCTTTTCTAGCTGACCAGTGATAGTATTTGTATAAACATGTTGCATAATAAACCCGCACACAACTTCTGCGTTCAAAGGTAAGCTTTCATCTGGAGTTATGTTTAGTTTAATGAAAGCTTTGTTAGATTTTCTCCATTTTACTAATCTGAAATAAACAAAATTAAAACACTATTAATTCTTTTTTATGCCACATAAAACATGACATTTTACTGATTTATTAACATCCCTAAAGTGTAACTTTTTTGGCCGCTTTAAAGTGTCACTGTTTTGGCCGTATTTACTTTACGGCCGCTTTTTATAAACTTATCGTTAGTAATTCTGTACGAATTTTATTAGTTAACGATGGATTTTTGTTCGATCAATAAAAATTTGAAACAATTCTTGAATTTAAGCCTCTTCTCAAAAACAAGAATGTAAAAAAAATATTGGCTCTACTTTATGACAGTCGCCTAAAAATATGTTGTAAGCACCTCATGTTTCTTAAGTTTTATACTTGTAATTTCTAGGAATATTACTTTTTCCTATAAGTTTTATGTCGTGAAGTTTTGATTTTTTTTTCAAAAAAAAAAAATAAAGGTAAATTGTTTGCTATGACTTGACAAATTTTAATTTTGTAGAAAAAATATTCACACTATTACTTGATATATCTGTATTAATTGCAAAACACAAAATCTTTCACGGGATTAAAATAACACTTTACGTATTTATATTTAAAGTGCACAAATCTAATTTATTCCATTTTAGTGGTACATCAATGCAATTTACTCGAAAGTCTGCCATCGCTCGAAAACACTCTACACCTTATCTGTTCCGCACCTAACACCACACATTTCTTCTCTTTTGATCTACAACTGGACCGACACGATGTCGCCGTAACGGAATTTTTATTTTATCAATGAATAGGTCTCCTGTTAACTCTGACTACGTCTCATCTGGCAAACTTCTCGTAGAAAAACTCAACTTTTGTCCTTACAACATAAACTACTAATACAATAAGCAATTTCCTTTTTATAATTGACTTCAAACTCAACTAATACACTCACTAGAACTTAAGTGCACGAATGATGCTCTTTCACTTGTAATCACTCCTGGCCTTTTACTGTTAGACCTGTCAGATGTGTCAGGCTCTTTATATTTACTAATCAAAAATTATTTTAAACAAGTTTTCAAGTAACAATTTTTTGTTTTTAAAAATAATGACTCTTTTCTCTTAAGCTAGATTCATATTTTTTAACTCCCTTGTATATGATTGAAATTTTTTAATATGTATCAAGTTTATGGTCCGTTTTAGGTCAAAGTACTAACTTTTATCAAGAATAAAAGTTTCTGAGTAATTAACAATAAAAAAGTTTTCTATATAGTGCAGACATTTTTTGACACCTTGAAAACTGTCAGGCAATTATTGACTGGAGATTATAGTGTCATTTAGTTAAATATATAAAAAAAATTAGCTTTCATACTATAATGTATTTGCTCGATATCTTTTGGTATCTTGAAGACCAAACTCCCCCGTAGTCAAGATTCATAACACCCAAACTTTATTATCTACTATGATGTGCACATACATATAAAATCTTAAACATTATACTACAACGTAGGACTGGCGGTCACGGGCTCTTAGTCTATTCTATTACTCTCTATTATTTATGGATTACACTACATTTAAATGTTTTATATTAATAAATATAGATAAAAAGTAAATAAAATAATAACCCAATCTTACTTTGGATCATCATGAATATTATGAGTTTCTCCAGAATCATCATATTCAGCAGCATCATCCCTCGGTGGTAAAACAAAAGTACTTTCAGGAATTTCAATGTTACAATTCATATATTCCATAATTTTTCTTGGTTTTATTATGATCGAAGGTGACCTTGATGACAGCGTCAAAGAACTACTGGGTTGGCTGGTTAAAGACATTGGTTGTTTCTACAAATTATTTGTTATAGTACTTAAGTAAATTAAATCGAAAATGTAAAAGCTAAACTAGATCAAAAAATACATACTTCTTGAAGGCTCAGTTGCTCTACATTTTCAACAACTTCTGTAAGTTTGTTTTCAACTATATCTTCCTGTTCATCTAAATTAAGTTCGAAGAAACTGATAGTGGTTTGATGCTGGGTGGGATTAGTAAACTTCAGAATTAACTCACAAGGTCTTCCAGCTCTAAGCGGCTCTACTGTTACAATACGGATTTCTGGTATGTGATAACTAAACAAAAAAAAAATGTTCATTTAGAGGGTGAAATTTTACTATACAGGGTGTAACTAAATAAGTGTAAAACATTTAAGGGGGTGATTCCTCATCGAAAAAAAGATAGGATCTTTCATATAAAGAAACTTCATTGGAGCATCCCTTGTTAAGATACAGCCCCTTAAAGGGGGTACATAAAATTTGTTTAACAATTTTTTTCACAAGCACTGAACAAGTTACAAAATTGAAATTAACCTGTCATTTTCTACTGCCAAAAAGATACTTAGCCAGTAATTTATTTGGTTTACCCCATGGTTGTAAGGGGTGGAAAACGCAACCCCTAAAATTTCGTTCCAACCTAACTTTTCGTCTTATTATTTGTTTACCATTTAAAAATTTATTTCCGATAGCCTGTTTCATTCTAAACAAAAAATGTCTCTTGAATTTTTTGCCCAAAATAAACCAGTTCGCAGCAAAAAAATATTTTACGAACAACTACAGAAATACATCGTCATAAATGTGAACTGGAATATTTTTTTGCTGCGAACTGGTTTATTTTGGGCAAAAAATTCAAGAGACATTTTTTGTTTAGAATGAAACGGGGTATCGGAAATAAATTTTTAAATGGTAAACAAATAATAAGACAAAAAGTTACGTTGGAACGACATTTTAGGGGTTGCGTTTTCCACCCCTTACAACCATGGGGTAAATTACTGGCTAAGTGTCTTTTTGGTAGTAGAAAATGTCAGGTTAATTTCAATATTGTAACTTGTTTAGTGCTTGTGAAAAAAATTGTTAAACAAATTTTATGTACCCCCTTTAAGAGGCTGTATCTCAACAAGGGATGCTCCAATGAACTTTCTTTATATGAAAGATCCTATCTTTTTTTCGATAATGAATCACCCCCTTAAATGTTTTACACTTATTTAGTTATTTCTCTATATAAAAAACATTGTTAAGATCACATTAACTTACTAAGCAAATAGTTGTATCTTAAATTTGACAGAGCTTGGATTATACTCAGGTTTGCTAACATTGTGTTCGCAAGTTTTACATCTTAAAGTACGTTTGATAGAGAGCTGCTTGTGAACAGGAAATAACTTATCTACGGTAGTAGGTTGAGACTCAGGTTGAAGCAGTCTTTGTTCAATTGTGGTAACTAAAAAAGAAAATGGATTAAATCAATACTTTCTTATGGCAAAAAGTCAAAAAGGAAGTATTCACTTACTATCCATTAAATTTATTGGTTTGGTGAAAATATCATCAGGAAGTTTTTCAACTTCAGTTTGTGCTATCATTGGTTCAGGTTCTTTTGGTCTCGATTTTAAGAGAGGGTGTGTTAAGTCAGCAGGTAAGCCTATTCTCTTACGTAGTGCTGCTGCAGTTACACCAGTTCTATCCTAATAAAAATAATTATAAAATAAAAACATAACTTTCAAATGACAAATTAGTTGCTTACTGTATAACTGATATATTTCCCTCTTTGTTTCTTATCTTTTTCTTGTTGTTGCTTTTGTGCCAATACAATAGCCTTGTACAGATCTAATAATTCTTGCAGCCTGTTGGCATGAATGTTCTCCCTATCTGGCCAACCTCCTGTTACTAAAATTTTTAATTGCAGAATTAGATGCTAAAATGTGTATTTTATTTTACCCTTTGAGATAACAATAAAAAACATTTATAGACAAATCTGCGGAGGAACAGAAGTTAAAGACATTAAAATGTATTGTATGTTATTTATGTCTTTCTTTTTTAATAAAAAATTTAACTTTATTAATAATTTTTATGAGCCTGAATTATAGAACAATTATCCTACTTTCATGACCATACTCTCATACAAAAGTTAAAGACATTAAAATGTATTGTAAGTCCAAAGTGATACTAGGAACATTCTGTTACAATACTCTAAGAGAATCTACAAACAATAATGAAATATCCAATAACATACAACACATTTGATCTCTGTATGTTACATGATTACGAACTCTTAAATATGATATATTCTGAGCTACCTAAAAATTATAGTGTGTTAATGCTAAATTAATTACCACTAGATTGGTCAGGTATTCCAACATCTCTAGAACTCCACCTGCAGAACTGACAGAACAAATAGTACATTTTCTTCGTTGAAACCTTTTCTTCACCTTCTGCAGGTGCCTTGGTCGAAGCAATTCTAGGAGAGAGTTCCTGTTCGCAACTGGGACACATATAACAGTTTCCACATCGATTTTTCTTCACTCGAGCCTCTGATGAGGGAATGTTCTCGGAACATTTTCCACAGAAATTCGAATCGACCTACAAAAATGAGATTAGAAACAATATAGCTGGAAAATTAATAAAAATACCTCATGACAAACACAGAAACTGCAACGAAGTTGTGTACAATATCTACAAAAATATAAAAAGGATATTGGTTTAAGTAGACCACAAGTGCAAGAATATCTGACGACATTTGGGCCTATAATGTAAGACATTTTTAATATTTAAATTAACTAAATATCCAAATTTGATAGTCAAGAATTCGTGATATTTGCGAGTGTCACCTAAATTGTCATTGTCAGTTGTCACTGTGACGTTTACCTGTCACTGTCAGTGTCAAAAGTTTGAATTTTGTGAGGTAGGTATCTACCCTGTTATCTACCTACAAGGACTAAAGCTTACGCTTATTTTAAGTAGATGTCGCGATTAAGACGATATTTTATACGAAATAAAATTAACACGTTCAGCGCTAAAGGGATTTACACAGCATTGCACCACGATACACGTACAGTTTTTCCTTGTCCTAGTTCACTTAGGTCTTAGAGCTAATATATGCTTTCAAAGAAATTTTCAGAAACACATGAATAAAAAATATTAAAATTTAATTTTATGTTTCAATAAATTCAATATTTTTTAATCTAACAATATTTTGTAATATAAACAAAAATAATATATTCTGAAACAAGTATTAGAAATTAAAAATTAAAAAAAAAACGACTTCAAAATCGTGCAGATGCCATCATCACATCTTAACCAAATTTATATGGGACCACCTCTGAGGTACCCCCTTACTAACAAAAAAATAATCATATAAATCAGACAAGTTGGTAAAGCATTATCGCATTAGATTTTGACCAAATTTATATGGGACCACCCCTGAAGTACCCCCTTTCTAACAAAAGAAGAATTATTTAAATCGGACACCGTGGTAAAGAATTATCGCTGAACATACATAAAAAAAATATTACGACGAATTGAGAACCTCCTCCTTTTTTGAAGCCGGTTAAAAAAAAAAAAACAAAAAAGAAACGTATCATATTTATTAGTCTCATCCCAAAATAAAAGTGTAGGATCAAAATGTCTTATTTACATTTGACTCTAATAATTAACAAACTATATTAGGCATTCCAATGCCCTGTCCGAATGGCTACCAGTGGGATCTGACCAATGAAGAGGAGAGCGGTATAATGATAACAGTCAATGAAAAAATTTAGACCTATGCACAATTTCGTTTTGCACATTTTGTAAACAAGATTCAGGAACAGTTTATTAACATTTTGTGTAACAATTTTAAAATAGTGCATCGGAAAATAATTAACAAGTATAATTTAAAGGTGGATCCAGACCAAGCGCGCTGCTCTGCGTCGCGCCGCACAAATCAGTTCAGAGCGGCGCAGCGCTTCGGGTTTGAACGACAACCTGCGCTGATTCGCGCCGATTTGCGCTGCTCTGCAACAAGAGCGAACGCGATCCGGCAGATGTCGGTATATCAAAGGAAAACGTATGTTTGTGCGCGTTGTGAAATAAAAAATGAGTGCTTCATTTGAATGGACTCATGAGGCTATTGAAAAATTGATAGACCTATATCGCCAAAAACCGGAATTGTGGGATCCCAAAGAAAACACATATCACATTAAAACTAAAAAGCATGATGCTTGGACCAACATTTCTTTGGAAATGGGAATCGATGTTGATGCTGTTAAATCTAAAATGACTTCTTTATTGTCTTCGTATAGAAGAGAAAAAGGAAAAATTAAAAAATCGACGGAAAAGGTAGGAATAATACCTATGTTTTATATCCCATGTACAGGGTGTTGCTAAATAACATGTACAAACGAAAGGGGGTGATTTCTTGACATATTTAATGGCTAAAGTGCTTGGTTTTCAAGATACAGGGTGTATAATTTTTTTCTGTTCTTCAGATGTATGCAATGAACTTTTTATTTTTTTTTCTCGAAAACGAAGCAAGATACGAAAAAATGTCGATGAAAGCAAGTTGCATTTTTAGTTGCTCAATCCGGAAAAAATATTTAATTTATAAAAAAGTCAGTGGCGCACATTTTTTCTGTTTTTTTTTTAGAAAAAACTTTAGACTTGAAAACCAAGCATTTGCGGACCCATGTTTATATGCTACTTTGTCCATTAAATATGTCAAGGAATCACCCCCTTTCGTTTGTACATGTTATTTAGGAACACCCTGTATAATACTGATAATACGCTTTTAGGGCGGGAGGATATTTACATCTTAAACTGATTTGCATTCAAGTTTTTTAATTTTTTATCAGAAAAGGACACACCAAAGGATACTCTTAACACAGAAGAAGTAAGTAAAAACAAATAATATTTGCATACTATTATAAAATATTTATTTAAGCACGGTCATTTTGCCAAGGTATACGCCCGTTTGTAAAAAAATATTCGGCAAATTCTTCTAGTATTTCTTGCGCATTTGATGGACTTTTCCTTGGTATTTGTTTTAACTTGCACATTGAGGTTTGGTTTACATCATCCCTCCGCCAGGTTCCAGCAACAACTGTCCCATCATTTAGCTCACTATCAAAAGTTCCTGCAGGAGTATAGGTATTTCTGGAATTTTTACTTTTTCTTAATTATGTAGACAAATAGTCGTTAATACTACATCTCTAGCTTTGTTAGGTTCAAGGAGTATGGGTTTTCTCAAAACTCTAAATACTGCATTAAGTATTCCAAAAGCATTTTCTGAAACTCGCCGTGCTCTTGACAATCGATAATTGAAGATCCTTTCTTTCGATCCTTTTTCATAAAGACCAGAATAGGGTTTCATTACATTTTCATGGAGAGCAAATGCTTCGTCACCCAGTATGACGTAAGGAATACGTTTTTCTCGCCCAGGAAGTTGTTTTGGTTCTGGCAAAGGCAGATTTTTCTCTTGTATTTTTTTCATGTTAGACTGTGTTTAAATATTCCTCCATCCATTATAATTCGCATCCACAAGTGCAAATAACACAATGCTAAAAAATGACTTATAATTGTAGTATTCTCTACCACTGTTTATGGGTGCTTGTAACATCACATGCTTTCCATCCATAGCGGCTACGCAATGCGGATAATTCCAATGTTCCTCAAATTCTTTAGCATATTGTAACCACCCTTCTGTAGAATGTGGCATCTAAAAAAAAAAAATTATGATTTTTAAAAACTTTCTTTATTTGCAGATATACGCCGAAGAAAATTCGCAAGATGATTTTCAAGCTTCTGTTGATGATACCAATGATGAAAGTGAACTACAAACTGAAAAACAAACTACTGAGCAATCTATTGAAAATGTCACTGAAACCCCCTCTCAAACCAATGGGAAAAATACAATAGCCAAACGAAAGATATTTGTCTCCCCCAAAAAAAATCCAAAACGTAAAATGGCAACAGAAGACCGTAGATTGAGTAAAGCATATGACGTCATCGATAGCATTTCAAGCGAACTAGTGTCCAGTCGCGATAAATGGTCTGTGTATGGAGAGCATGTAGCTAATAAGCTACGAAAATTAAGTGACAGAACTAGAGCCATCCTTATGTCAATAGATTTGTTCCACTATAAACTGATCTATTTCTAAGTATCGGTGTTAACCAATGTCGACGACAGGATTTGAACCATAGATTGAACGCGGTCGAAAAATGGCAAAATTGATAAGTTCGACGTCCTAACCAGCTGAGCTAACAGCCCTTGTGTCAATTGAATGATCTAATCGGTTATGTATTTAACCAAAATAAAGAGCAAACATTATTTTAAAATTATTTTAATAATAATTGTTAAAGATAAATATCTAGGATCTAATTTACAACAATTTCAATAATTTAACAATCATATCGATTTTAGTATTAATATGGATATTACATAGATCAAAATAGAAATTAGCTTACAAAATAATATCAAAAAAATGTAAAACCAAGGTTATTATTACTATATTAATTAAAATGTATTTAAAAAAATAATCAACAATAATCGTATTTATTCAATTTTCATATTTTCTAAACAAAAAAAACTAATAAAAAATAAAAAAAAAACAAAAAAAAAATTCGGCTCCGCCAGGATTTGAACCATAGATTGAACGCGGTCAAAAAATGGCAAAGTTGATAAGTTCGACGTCTAAACCAACTGAGCTAATGGGCCTTACGTCAATTGATTGATCTAATCGGTTATGTATTTACCCAAATTAAAGAGCAAACATAATCTTAGTTATTTTAAAATTATTTTAATAATAATTGTTAAAGATAAATATCTAGGATCTAATTTAAAACAATTTCAATAATTTAACAATCATATCGATTTTAGTATTAATATGGACATTACATAGATCAAAATAGAAATTAGGCGTTTGACATTTTTTGACAACTACTGCGGAAAGTAACATATTCTCACTTGGGTGGAAAGTAAATTCTTAGTCATACGCGTGTGATATAGGACACTTTCCATAGGACTATATAGTGTGATATGTGTCACTTTCCTAAGTGGTCGTAGGAAAACGAGTTTTGATATGACTTGTATAATACACATATAATTAAGTTAAAACGCGCCGATAGAAGAGACGCATGTTCGGCGATTTTATGCATAGCGCGTCAAGCGCTCCGTTCGCTTGGATTAGGAAATCTTTCTATTGTATTATATTTCCAAAAACAAGCGAGCTCGGACGGTCAGATTTTTTTTATGAAGCGCCTCGTTTGTTTCATGCAGTGGTGCAGATACCCCGAAATTAGATACAGTTTTGGAGGTTTCTGTTTTGTAATTTGTATAGAGACAAAAATGCAGGGCATTTTGTTACAGAAAAAGAAATATTTAGCTATTCAGTTGATTCTTTTATTAATTTCTACTGAAATTTTGATGAAGCAGCGAATCATTTGCGTCATCTAGCGAGCCGCTACTGAAATTCTGATAAAATATTGAATAGGTAGAATTGTAGGCCGGAGCCAATTCTGTAGGACTAGTCCAAAATGGCAACGCCCTGCAGTCCGCTTATCGGACCTCTCTACTCTTTTTATCATATTTTGATAAAATAAAATAAAACACAATTTTAAAGTTCCATTCAATCAATTATTAAATTTATCTCTCCGGATTAACTCTGCTTTATAATTATTAAACATTGTAATATGCGTTGTTATAAAATAAAAATACCTAATAATAATTGAAAATAAATTTAATAGAGCAAGATCTTTCAGAGCTCGTGATCGCAGCGTGACCGATAATAATTCAATAAATAAATATTGATACTACATCTTTCTATTTAAAAATTATCTGTAATTACGTATACATTATTTTTTCAATTGATATACATATGCATATAAAGAGAACGCACTGTTATAATGTGTCTA